TTAGTTCTACGACGAGCAACTACTCTCATATCCCCTCGGCACTTCAAATCCTTCAGCACTTCTGGCATGACCTCAGAATCACTCGGTAATCTCAATTTCAAGTGTCGATAGCCTGGACTGATATGGAGTTTGCTCTAGACTATGAGGACCTCTTCCGCTACACCTCTGGAAGATGGCTCATGAACGAAGCGGAGGAGCTATCTCAAAGATATCGGCAGCTCTCTGTTGACGGATTGAAAATGGCTGCCGTTGCCGCCGTATCCGGAGGTCAATATTGCTCGTCTATCACCAAGATAGGCGAAGGCGAGTACAACAGAGCATTACTAATCACGGTCGCCACCGACTCCGGCTCCACCGACTTGGTCGCCAAAATTCCATACCCTCGAGCGGGGCCTGCGAAAATTTTGACCGCTTCTGAAGTTGCGACTCTCGAATTCTGTCGAGATGTACTTCAACTTCCCGTTCCAAAGGTTTTGGGATGGTCTGCGAATGCCGAGGAGAACGCCGTTGGTGCTGAATACATCTTGATGGAACGTGCCGAAGGGGTACCAATTGCGGATCGTTGGGAGGAACTTGGACTCGGAGGTCAGCTTATCTTCTCTAGGAACCTCCTGCGCGTCCAAAACAGGATGCTCGTGACGACTTTTGGGGCAAACGGGTCTCTGTATTACCAGCAGGACGTCCCGAAAGACGACCAGTATCATGGGCCACTCATTTCGTCGGATTCGGAACAAGCTTTGTCTGTATCAAACGCAAATCTCCAACGGTGGTGCATCGGCCCAAGCACCGATCGCGATTTCTACAGTCGTGGTAAGGCGAGTCTAAAAATCGACCGCGGACCTTGTGAGCCCATTCAATATTAGACAGGAAAATTTTCTCAGCTGATCTCCGATTCTTAGGGCCTGATGCGCTAAGCTTTACGGAGGCGATCGTCGACCGGCAGATTCGATGGTTCGAAGAATGCCCTCCGGCAGTTCGGCCACTCTACCACCCATTCCGCCGACTCGACTGCCAAGAAGATCCAGAGGCCCACATTTCCCTCCTCAGAAGATTTCGCCTGATGCTGAAACACTTGGTGCCCTCCGATGCAACTCTCGCGGTACCAGTAATGTCGCACCAGGATCTCCACCCACGCAACATCTTCGTCCAAGAAACCGGACTGCCCAACATTACTTGTATCCTGGACTGGCAAGATGTAGCGCTGAAACCGCTCTTTATGCAGGCGGTAAGTAGCTCTTGAATTTTAGCTGCGTGCGCTCACCGAACGTTTACTTTTGTCCTAGGACATTCCAAAACTCCTCGCGTATGCGGGTGCCAGCCTCCTTGTTGGTACCATGAAGATGCCCCCACAGGAAACCCTGGATCAGCTCTCTGAGAACGAGATTGCCGTCGTCAAATGGGAGATCGAATTTCAGAACCACCACTTCTTCTACCAGAAAAATCTCAACAAAGTCGCACCTGTATACTATCGTGCGCTGTCAGTATTGGCTCACCGCTTCATCCCCTTGTTGTGGTTAATGACTGACCGACTGACTCCACTGGTCTCCAGGGATATGCCAGGACATAGGATCCGCACTGACTCGATCCACATCGCAGCAAACACCTATTCCACCGAAATCTTTCCTGACATATATCGCCTACGAGAACGGATGAGGTTAATCATTGAGAACTGGAGCGCCATGGGGATGAGTGAGGCGTGTCCGGTGAGTTTCAGCCCCGAGGAGCTGCGCCAACATGAGGAGGACAAAAGCGGTTATGATGCATCGCACGCGCAGTTTGACACATTTGAGGAGCTTCTTGGAATGAGGTCTGATGGGCGGGTCGATGCATCGCATTATGAACAATCTATAGCGGCGAGCAAGCAATTGAGAGACCGCTATGAGAGGGAGGTTGCAGGGCTCGAAGTCACGAAGGAAGAAGTAGAGCAGTACTGGCCATTAACTCAATAGACAATTGTCTACGGCTTGCGTGGCAGAATCAGTATACCAATCCTAGTTTCGTTTGTCAAAGAGGCTCGTGTAATCACTCTTCTGCAAACATTCCCGCTGGTCCATATTGCTAGCGCAGAATTGTGCCTTCGCTTGATTGCTGCTGTTCTTAAACTCGAGTCCCAGAATTTTTTTTTTTGTTTTTTTTTGTTAAGAATCCAGCGAGGATAATCATGGAGAATAAAGAGAATCAGCATATAGCACGAGGCATAAGCATGTAGGCTTCAAGTCACACAAACCCTCCGATTTGTCATGGCAGCAATGGAGGATGTTTTTAGGGCGCATGTCGGCTCAATGAAGATGCATACGCCAACACTACAACATGCTGGTCAATCCAAATGCCCATTAAGTCTGGCATATTCGTCGTTGACCGATTTCGCCAGTTCACTAACGGTATGACCTCCCTATATATTACAACTCGTTAGTACATATCGGCAAATCACGATCTTTCGGATTGGGCTAACCTCGCACTCCTTCCATTTCCCATCATGCACGCACCTGATCCTCCCACTAATCAGAATGGTGCAGCTTTTGCTAGGTAAGCGGATAGTCAGCTCGCCCTGATTTAGGATTGGAGACGCGTACAGATTCCACTCACTTGATTCCCAACGCCAGACTGTGCTTTATGCTCTCCCTGAATAGGTTGACCCCTTCCTTCCCCTCCCAACACTCCGCAATCCCGTCCGACCCATCCCACTCGAAACCGGACATTTCGGCACATTCTTTTGCCCTTCCGACATTGCCTACGTTCACGAGTCCTCCCAGATTGATGCATTGCAGCCACGTCCACCATTCTGCCAAATGCAGATGCTTCGACACACAGAGCTCCTGAACATTTCCGTCACATTCTTGTTGACCGTGCATGCAGCTCACGCCGTATTTGGGCTCAGATTCGTTGAATCTAGATAAATAAGGGCATGAGAAATTACGTCATATCTCAATCACCAGTGAGGCTAACCTTGCAATGAAGGACAGATCCACATCCACCTTCTCGAATCCCACTTCTTCTAATACTGAATCAAATACGTCCTCGCAGAATCGTGCGTCCGGGCACCGTGACATGACGCCGAGTGTTATCGGGACTTTGACGCTGGTGGCTGGGCCTTTGCTAACTGCCAAGACCGATTGTTCCACGAAAGGCGCTTCATAATGTGCAGGCTCAGCGACCGCTGGAGTCGATAGATATACGCCAAGAGCGATCAGCGACAGAGCAAACATTAGGATCGTGAACAGGCGGCGTGTGGGTGGCATCGTTTTGGATGACTAAGCGTTGTTGCAACCTCTAACAAACACCGTAGTCATTTTCTAGCCATGCAAAGCCCTGTTCAGTGTCCAAACGAAATCTGGGACCTTATCGTTCGCCATCTTAATACTATAGACCGATCTCACCTTCAATCTCTATGTCTTGTGGCCGGATGGCTCTATGACATCGCTGTACCTCATCTATACTACGATCCCTTCTTGGGCCGTCACAGCCGATCCCAGCCCGCAAGGTTTGAACAAAGGCAGGAGCTTTGTGCAGTGTTGATGGCCAACCAGCGCATCGCGGACCTTGTGCGGGTCTATCGCTCGGAAAACTCAAATGGACGCAACTTCTCACTCGATCATGGAGTTGAACTCGCGACTCTTCCCCGATTGCGCAATCTGACATCTCTATACCAACACCCCTCGCTTGGTATCTCTGTCCATGAGTGCGTGTCAAACAGGCTCCAGACACTGGAAGTCGATGGTCGGCAAACTCAACATACACTGGAGGATCTGGAGCAGTTCTGGGGATGGCTCGACAATCAGCAGGCGATCCGGCGGCTTTCTCTACAAGGGGTCGGCGTTGTCAACTTCGCAAAATACCCACGTGCGCTAAGGATGCTGGAGACATTGATGGCCGACAGTGAGGCGGCAATGTCAATTCTGCCGACGAGGAAGGTCAAACGCTTCTACATGTTTGGAGAGGAATGTGACAGATACCTGAACGATTTGATTCCCTTGTTCGACAATGGCCTGAACGTCATCCATCTCGCTGTACTGGTCTCGAATATACCCCTCACCTTCAACCTCCTCCGGGAACACGCGAGACGATTAAGGGTGATTCATATGAGCCTCAAGCGTCTGCCTGATACGACAGAAGTAAGTCCTTCGAATAATTGACCAACGATCTCTCCGGCACTGACCAGTCTGACTTCCTAGGATGATATCGGGGTTAAACAAGCTGTCTATCACTCGCTGCGCAAATTTCCTCACCTTAGGGAGTTACATGTCAGTTTCACTGGACAAAACGTCACAGGCAGCGGCAGCGGTTCCAGAGCCAAGTTCTTTGAGACACTGCCGGGCGAGTGTGAGGGATGTCCGTACCTCGCATCGGTCCAGTGGGATATCACGTACTTTGTCTTCAACGGAGGTTTTGCGCTACTTTACCGATTCAAACACGACGTCCCTGCCGCGAAATGGACGCGGACGTGGCGCCACGGGAAGGTTGAGGACTGGTGCCAGGCGAATAAGCTCGACGAGTTCGACGGGTGTGGAGAGGGGCTTGAAATTTCGGTTTGATCCTCTGGGTGTTTGTCTGTATCCCAGATCCTCAAGTACGGATCCTCTATCTTCCTTCCTCTTCTGTTACTCCGGTATTGAATGATCGTATCTTTTCAATGGACCATCACATCCTTTTTCTTCTGTACCCTGATTGCCTCTTTCACTATTGCTGGTATTCAAAGACTCTTCTAAGACGCGATCGATGATCCGGTAATTGTCGCAAGCGGCCTTGATTTGCCTTGATCCACAAAGCGTTTCTATCCTCGCAAGCATAATTGTCCCTGGGGGCACCTATGCATGACAGCGTCTGAGAGAGATGAACCTGAGGAGGGGTGGCGGAATAATCTTTGCTCATATCATCGACGGAGGCAGAAATATGATCTGGACACACGAGTATCATTGCTTTGAGCCGTTCATTTACGGGTAGAGTGTTCCACGATATGCCTTGTATTTGAAAATTGCTATATTTGGCCCCTTCAACATGGAGGGTGTGTGGCGCAGTGGTAGCGCGCCTCATTCGCATTCAGCCGTCTTTCTGCTGAGCAATTGCCTTGAGGAGGTCTAGGGTTCGAGTCCCTACTCATCCAATTATTTTACTTTAACCAAGCGTTGAGGCGTCATACTCGCCATTCGGAGGTGGACTACCACCACAACCGGAGTTTCCAAGAGCATGTTTGTATGAGGTTTTGCTTTTCGAATTCCAGCGGCCAAGACGTACGTACCATTAGTATTTTCGTCTTGCTTGGCTGCTGAACAGGGAGCTCCGCATCAGAATTGGTGTAGGTGAAGTATACAAACGAAGTGACTCTAATATGCTGAACATGTGGATATAAAGATATTGATTTAAGGAAAAGGAAGAAAAAACCCGATCTGGCAAGGCAAGATATATATATAGTGCCATCAAATAAATAAAAAAACGCCGGTGTACCTTGGTAAGGCAGTTCCATTGAATAAAAAGACCTCACGAAATTCGATTTCCAACGCGTCTGTGGTGTTGTTGGTTGCTACCATTCACCACGAACCTCCATCGGAGCGGTTTGCATCCGCTGCTGACCTAACCATGGTACCTCCCCCCACCATCTTACCTGCCCAAGCGGAAGCCCTTCGTAGTTGTTCGCTTGCACCCTGCTGATGTGGTAGCAGTCGGTGCAAGCGGTCCGTACCGACCCTAAGCTCGCCGTATGGTTCAAGATAGCGCTTCGAGGGTCGAGGGTCCTGCATGTCTTTACTGACGGGGGTTCGGGCTCAACTTCAAGGTACTTCCCGTATACGTTCCCTGGAGCAGATGTGAGTACTATCTCCTCTCTAGCTATCTATGTGACCAGTCTGACCAATTCGTTGTACGCCTTTCGTTCAGCTCTCCCTCAGCGGATTGGATCAAAGTGCCCCGAGCTCGATATGATGTGTCTCCTGTATTATACCTGAACTCGCTAGTCATCCCTCCAGATACCACAACAACGGCAGGACGTCCTTGGCAGTTGTTCGCTTGCACCCTGCTGGTATGGCAGCAGTCAGTACAAGCAGTCCGTACCGACCCTAAGCTCGCCGTATGGTCCAAGATAGCGGTTCTAGGGTCGGGGGTCCTGCACATCTTGACTAATGGGGGTTTCAGGCTCAACCCCGACACAGGTCGCATTTCGAGATGTTTTCACTTGAAACATCATATAAACATACAACAGAAACATGTGAAATGTTTTTAAGGCATGTTTCTAGGCTAGGAAAACAGCCATCAGAAACATGCATGTTGTTTTGAGTCATGTTCTTCTAACCAAAAAATTTCTTAAAAATACAACTAACCCAATCACTATTTTTAATAAATTTCACAATAACTCAAAACAATATGCATATTTATTCTCAAAACATAAAAAATATTTCTAAATGTAAAACAGCAATGAAAGCATGGGTCATACTCATAACATGTTTCTGAAAGCTGTTTTCAGCCTAGAAACATGCATTTCACATGTTTCTGTTGCATGTTTCTGGGAAAATGTCCTGATCCTGTTCCCTTGCATTTGCTAAGTCTCTATCTGAACTCTATTATCTCACGATCCTGTCATGGCATTATCTATGTTGAAGGTAACATTGTACTGAAGGTTCACTTGTATGATTGATGTCTTCTCTGATGCTGATGCATTCCTTCTCTGATGTTCTCTCTGATGCTGATGCATCCTTTCTCTGATGTATCTCAGATTGTATATAACAGGCAAAGTGAAGAGGTTGTGTTCCTCACTTTGCCTCCTGTATTCTCCAGTCTTAGTCTGTAGTGACTTCTCTATTTCATCTATTGTCCACATCTTACAGTCCATGCACCAGGTATCCTGCTCACATCAAGTCCATGTGTTCACAATCACAGCCACAGAACCCATAGTCATGACATTAGGCAAAGTCACCCTACAAGCCCAATACTCCCATGGATAACAACAACCTCCCACAGCAACCAGGATCCCCACCCCTGGCATTCAGCACCCCTCAACAGCAACCTGACATGGCCCAACTCTTAGCCATGATGCAACAACTCCAGGCCCAAGTGGCCCAACAAAATCAAGTCCTTCAACAGGCAAACCAGCAGATCCAACAACAGATGCAGCTTAATCAGCAACTTCAGCAAACAAACCAGAACCTCCTGGTGGCAATTCCTGCCCTGGTAGCCCCCATAGTGCCACAAGCACCTACCCCACATGTTCCCAAGATCAAATGATACACTGGTGAACAAGGCATGCCAGCTCACATTTTTATGCAGCAACTCCAAACCATTTTCAACATGCAACCAGCATAATTTGTCACAGATGATACATGCATCTGATATGCTCTACTCAACATGGATGACAAAGCCACTGTCTGGGTGCAACCAGTGCTCAAGATAGTTAACAACCTGCCAATGAATGTGCCAAACTAGCACAACAACTGGGACAACTTCATGTTAAGAGTTAGCTCCTTGCTGAACTCTGATGGGCACTACTGTGCTAAGGGTGTCAAACAGGAGCACTTACTAATGGCAATGAGTTGCTTTGAGAGAGGGGATAAGAGAGAATGGATTTGAAAGCTCTAGATTACAAACAGGTGTTTG